AGACCGAGTAGCTTGACCATTGACTCGACCTTCACGCGACCCATGGCTTTGGTAAGGATATCAGCAGGCATGTCGTCCGTTCGCAGGTGCTTAAGCCCGATACGGCCCTTTGCAACCTCGTCGCGAATCCAATAGAATCGCAGGTCGAGGTGCTTCATTCGCCCGTGGTGTTCCGGATCCTTCATGACGGACAGCGCAGATTGGTTGTCGACGTGGAGAACGCAAGGACCGGTGAAGACGTAACCAAGCTCGGTGAAGAAGTTCCGCAGCCAAAGAATCTCCTGGCCAGCTGATACGGCCGACACAAACTCGGCCTCCGTTGTGGAGAGCGTAACAAGCCCTTGAAGCCGGCTTGACCAGCTTACGGCGCCTCCTGCCATTAGGACGACATATCCGCCAGTCGAGCGTCCGTTGTCGGGGTTACCGGCGTGGTCGGCGTCAGAATAGGTTTGGAAGAGGTCGGAAGGGGATGAGATGGGCTTGGGAGGTCATGTGTAGGTGATCTTGTAGTCAATTGTGCCTTTGATGTACCGGAATACACGCTTGACGGCCTTCCAATGTGCAGGACCGGGGTTGCTACAGAAGCGGGCGAGCACGCTGACTGCGTAAGCAAGGTCTAGACGTGTCGCAATCGCAAGATACGCGATCGCGCCGACGGCGTTGATGTACGGAATGTGGCGCATTTCGGCAGCTTCTTCAAACGTCGACGGACACTGGGCCTTGGTCAGCTTGATGCCCGGGTCGAGGGGAGTGGCAACGGTATCACAGTCTGACATCCCGAATCGCTCCAGGATGTCGAGACAGTACTGGCGTTGGGAGAGGGTGACTGTACCGCGACGGAGATCTTGCTTGATTTCAACGCCCAGAAGCCATGACATGGGACCGAGCTCTCGCAGTTTGAAGTGTTGCTTGAGCTCGTGAATGACCTTGTCGATCTTGTCGCGCGATTTCGCAGCAATGGTCATGTCGTCAACGTAGACGGGGATAATCACCCGTTCGTCGTCCCGTCCGTAAATCCAGACACTGTGCTCGCAAGTGATGCGGGAGAAGCCCATACCAGTGAGGGCCTTGTGTAGTGTATCGAGCCAAACCCTACCCGCCTGCTTGAGTCCGTACAAGGACTTGTGCAGCCGCAATACCCACTCAGGAGTGTTTTGAGTAAAACCCTCGGGTTGCTTCATGTAGACTTCTTCCTCGAGGCTGCCGTTCAGGAAAGCGTTGGAGATGTCGACGCTGTATAGAAGTAGGTCCTCCATGACGGCGAGTGCAAGGATTGAGCGGAGAGTGGCCCATTTGGGCGTGGGCGCGAAGGTCTCGTGATAATCAAATCCTGGTCTTTGACCAAAACCTTGCGCGACCAAACGAGCTTTGTGTCGGTCGATGGACCCGTCGGCATTCCTTTTGACCTTGAACACCCACCTACACCCTATGGCTCGTCGACCCGGAGGCAATTCAACAAGCTCAAATGTCCCATTCTGCACGAGAGCTTCGACTTCCTGAACGGCGGCATTATGCCACTTTACACGCTCCTCCGGTGGCCTCCGCATCGCTTCGGCGTAGGACCGTGGCTCCGTGCTGGCAGCAGACGCTTTCAACGCATGCTCGGAGGTGTCGAAAGCCCACTCGATGGCTTCTTCGTAAGTGAGATAGTCATCATACTGACTCGCATATGTGTAGTCTAGGCCGGCTCGACACGCGTGGGCAATGGTTGCAGCATCCATGATGACCTGCGCCTCGTCTTCGTCTGGATCGTCGTCGTCAGATGGCACTGGCGTTAATGGGGAGTCGTCGTCGATGGGGTGTGGGGGTTGCCCGGCCGCTGGCGGGTCTAGACTCGGTGCGTTCCAGCCCATTTGCTGGCGCACGAGCTGATTCACGTTTAGAGTCCCGGCCTGGCGCTCACGAAGCTGCCGCTGGGGAACGACGACTGGAGGGGGAGGTGGTGGCTCGTCAGGCGTGTGAGCAGATGGCGGAAATGACGTGGACGACGTTGGAGGATTACTTTCTTCCTCAATTTCACCCCCATCATCCGACAACGGAGGCAACGGAGGTGTGGATGCAATACGCAGGGGTGAGTTTCCCGGAAAATATCTCTCATCAAATTGAGTGTGACTGCTGGTGTAGAATTTCCGAAGCTCGGGATCCCAGAAAAGCCACGGCGCCTTGCGCTTCTTCTTGGGGATGAGCACATACGCCAAGCAGCCGAAGATTCGGAAGTAGGAGACATCCGGTATCTTCCCATTCTGTTTCCACTCAACGTATGGGGTAGTTGTAGCAGGGAGCGCCGATGTCGGGGTGCGATTGAATGAATGGACAAATGCATTAACTGCCAGACGCCAGAACGACTTCGGAAGATTCGCTTGTGTGAGCAGGGTCGTCACCGCATCCGAGATGTCGCGGTTTGCACGTTCGGCCACACCATTTTGGTATGCTTCCCCGGGCTCGGTGATTTGTATCTGCAGACCGTTTTCCGCTGCCCAAACCTTGATAGCATCTGAAATGTATTCACCACCTCCGTCGCACCGTGCTTCGACCCACTTCTCCCCGGTCACAGCCTCAGCGTAAACCTTGAACGATCTCATGGCCGCAAAAGCATCACTTTTATTTTTGAGGTAAGCTATGCAGCGCCAACGAGAGCTATCGTCGATGAAAGTCATCCAGTAGCGATAACCTTCCGGCGTAGCGACATTCATTGGTCCCTTGAGATCTGTGTGGACTAGACAAAGATGGCGGGTATGCCTGTGTCCTGGCCCACGAGGAATATTGTGCCGGTGCTGTTTTCCCATTACACACGGCTCGCACAGAGGGTCAGGGTCCGTGAGCACCTCAAACTTCATGCCCGAGACTAGATTGTTCTTGCGCATCTTCTCGATATCGTCAAGATTCAAGTGCGCAAGTCGATCATGCCACAGCCCTCGCGTCAACGGGACAGTTGTCGCCCCATTCGCTTTCTGGGAGTCCGGAATAAGGACAGCCCCATCCAGATGGCCCGTGTTAGTCTCATCGACGGTCGCCGTGAACTTGGTCACCCCACCGTGGATGAAATCCACTCGATCCCCTTGTACCTTAATCTCATATCCTTTCACGCGGGTGAGGTGGAAGAGGGATAAAAGATTTGAAGCGAGGTTTGGTACATGGAGGACATCGTGAAACACCACTATCCAGTCACAATCCCGTGGCACAAACTGCACCGACCCAATGCCCTCTGAGTAGATGATGGTATCGTCGGCGAGCCGGATCGGAATACGGTGCGGCGAGTAGGAGGTGAACCACCGTCGGTGGGGTGTCATGTGTGAAGATGCACCTGTGTCCGTGTTCCAGTCAGTCGCTGCTCGAGATTCAAGCCAGCGGGCGCGATGGGATGAAGAGGCAAAGGCACTAGCCTTTCTGGCGAACTCCGTAGCACGATTGGCGGTGGCAGTCGGGGTTGTTGACGTAGCTGGCGTTGTGGCGGCTGGATTGGTAGGGGTGGTCGTGCCGGCAGCATTGGCGTTGCCACGACCTCGGCCGCGGCCTCGCTGATTGTTTGGCGACCTGAGTGATTGCTTTGCTTTGCCTAGCTGGTCGCAATCGCGGACCCAATGGGCTCCTTCACACAGGAAACACGGCCCGGCCTGTTGGGCTGCCATGGCAAGTGCTCCGGCGTCCTCCTGTTTGATGCTCGGCTTCGAGTCAAACTCGCGCTGGATGGTGGACTCGACGTCCGAGAAGTTGAGGTCCGCCTTCATCAGGAACTGCGTAACGAAAGCACGGTAATCGGGATTGTCGGAATCACGAAGCGCTCGGAGGGCGACCATGGTGGCTAGCCCGGCGTCGAGCTGCATAATGTCGAAATCGTCAGGGCGTTGGCGACGGATGAAGGAGAGGGAGGCATTGATGTCAGAGATGAGGGTGCTGAGGATGAGCTTGGGCTCGACATCGGTCCGGAGGGAGAGATTCAGGAAGTCGTTGTACGCTCTGAAGCGCACGCCGGGCACTTTCTGGTTTTACTTGGTCTCCAGAGCGGCCAACATAGCCTTTGGATTTCCCTTGTGAGGACGGATGTCATCGCGCATTGAGTCATCAACCGCCAGCCATAATTCTCCGCTCGCCTTGCTTTTCCGGGTCTCGTATGATTCGATGTCGCGGCGTTCATCTCTGGTGGGCGCGGCGGGGTCCGTAGGCGTGAGGAGCGTCTCCGCCGCAGTACATAGCCGCCATAGACCCTTGGTCCCCATATAGGCTTCAAAATTTTCGTGCCAACTGGTGAAGTCATCACGGTGGAGAATTGGACGGGAGTTTGAGGTAGTGTTGTCAGACATTTTTAATGAGGGAGGAGGGTAGTCGACTGGATGTATGGGAATGGTGACCGATGCCGTTTGCGCCGTATAAAATAAGTCCTGAGGCGATTTTATAGCGCGGGGCCCATAACCTGTTAGAAACGGTGTAGCGGGATACCGAGGAGCGCACAACACTCGAAGGACTGGGACGGCGTGAGGCAAGGGTGAGTGTATTCATTACTCTACGTACCTGGGATGGCGTGAGGCAAGGGTGAAAATCCCTTGCGGCCGTCCCGGCGATATACATGCTACGCGACGGTAAATAGAGGAATACAACGCGCTTGATGCGCCGAGTCACCTATTCCAACAAAAACACCCAAATGACTTGCGGGATACGATACTTCGTCGGCAAAGACCGGCGTTGTGCTGTAACTCTGGATCCACGTCTGAGTAAAAAAGCATACGCTAGTCCCCTTCATCTATGATCCGACCCTCGAATCGAACGAGGCGCGTCGTTATTTCTCGGATGGACACACTCAAGCGTCAAGACACGCTCCTGCCAATGACGGATCATGATCCCACCGTCGATAGCTTGAGAGCATTGGCATTGACGCCGATTCCCCCAGTCCACAGTGAGTACATACTTGCTTTACGCGCTCGAGGATGAGGGAGGCACCATCCAGGACTCATTCGTTGAGATCTAGGATAAGTAGCCAAAAATGGCATTTGCGGGAGACCGAAAAGCCTGACCTCGAGTCGAACGAGGATCCCCCGCCAGCTCAAGAAGACAGGGTGTACTTGAAGCGGGTATGCTGAATTTCACCATCAGGCTCAAATCATATCGTGCAAAATTGATCTACGTCGACTTGCAGCATTCATCAAAACATCACAGGTACCGCAGCACGGAGAGCGTCCGCCGGATATTCAGGTAGAGTCGAAACATCATCAAAGGTGGGTATCTTTCCACACGTCCTCTTGTGTCGTAGTTTCCAGTCGGCAACTTGACACTCCCTGCATACATACACCCTCTGTGAGCTACATCGAAGCACGGCTGAATCGTATAGGACGCACCAAGAGCAATAAAACACCTGGCCTTAATTCTGCGAGGAGCAGCGACCACAGCGTTGGAACGGACTCGAGGCGCCAGTGGAGGCGGGTGCGAGCTTCAAGCACTTCAAGTAGGAGCACGAGGCCCGGCGCTCGATCGTGCGTTCCTTGATGCTCTCCACCGTGACGGGCGACTCACCCTGCAGTTCCCGGTCAAGGACGTCCTCCACCTTTGACGCAGTCAGGATCGGCGTCTCCATACCGCAGAAGGAGCGAAGAATAAAATTGAGGACGTAGCCTGCCAAGTGAGTCAGTGGCGATAACATCCACAAAGAAGGCGGACGTACAGACGACTTTGGTCCGTATAAGCATAGGCCCCGCCAGAGTAACCTCCACGAGATCTCCCTCCTCCTCATCCCCATCCCCGTAAACGATGCCGTCCCAAGACTCACTCGGGATATACTTGGGCTGGCTGGGAACGGCGTCAAGCATCGCCGACCGCAGCAACTCAATAAAGATCTCGCGCTGCTCGCACAGCGGTTCGACACGGAGCTCACTCCCGCAGTACGCGCGCCCCATATTGAGGTTCTGCGACTTGGAGCAAACAGCAGCCAGCGCGCCGAGGACGTGTGGATAGCGATCCCCGGGGCTAGCTGCCCTCCAACGCGCCTCGAACCCTTTTTTGAAGCACGCGTGTGCATCAAGGGTGAGTTGATACTGCGCGAAGCAGGTGTTAGATAGAAGATAGGGGTAGCTGGATAGTGTGGCTTCGAGCCCGTGCGATTCGTTCCTGTTGACCATGTCGACGAAACAGAACAAGGTCGACACGAACGGTGGGCCGCGGAAGAGGATCTCCCAGGCGTGGTCCCATTTCACTGCGTCTGTGACGGCCTGGTGAGCGGCGGGCATAGGGATGGTGTTGATTGCGTCGGATACGGGTTCAGGATCGCTCTCGATCGAGGCTACCCGAGAGCGTAGTCTTTCGTCGAGCGGGATGTCGGGGACTGTGGCAACGTCCTCGAACGACAGGGCCTTTCCGCACACCGCCTTGTGTCGAAGCTTCCAGTCAGCCTTCTGGCAGATTCTATCGCATGGCGTTCAGTAACCGAGGAGATAAACGCCAGATGGACGCACGGAGAGCAGTAGAGAACCCGGCGCTGGGTCCCCTCGTAACAGCGTGGGCAGTGCTTGAATTTGGACGAGCCGTCGGCGGGTGAGAGATTGGTGCAGCCTGGATATGAGCAAGCGTTGCGGAGACCAGTGTTCCGGTCTTTGTGGTCCGCAGCTTGGAGCTTCTTGCGCTCTTGCGCGATCTCGGGGCCGAACTTTCTCGTTTGGAGCGCATCGTACACGTGTTGCAGGGGATCATCGCGCTTCCATGCCTTCTTCTCCTTCCTCTCGAGTCTCAATTCCAACGGCGCGAGGTCGAAGAACGTGCAAAGCGTATAGTGGAGAACATGGCCTGCTCTTTTTGAACGAGGATGGGAGATACGAACGAGTCCACGTACAGATGAGCTTGGTCCGCAACATGTAGACCTCGGCCCAAGCGACCTTCTCTTCATCGGTACGATCGGTGCGTGCCTCTTGCTTGGCCGAAAAAGCATCCCACTCGGGGTGAGCGATGTATCGTGGTTTATTGGGGATGACGGAACTGTCGTCAAGGAGGGCGGATCGTAGAAGATCGAGAAAGCTCTGTCCGTCGGAGGATAGCCGTGGGAGGTCAAGCTCCGTCACACAGTGACCACGAGTAGCGTTTAGATTCCCCGCCCTGGAGCAAATGGCGGCGAGTGCGCCGAGGAGGTGCTTGCGTCGGATTGCGCGGCTGGCCGACAACCAGCGGGCCTCGAGATCGTGGGCAAAGAACTGCGTCGAGTCGGATTGCGCGGCTGGCCGACAACCAGCGGGCCTCGAGGTCGTGGGCGAACAACTGCCTCGAGTCGAGAGTGAGATCCCGTTGAGCCCCACAGGTACCCAGCAGGTTGGTCGAGTATCGGTCGAGGGTTTTGTTGAGCGAATACGTGGATTTCTTGTTGTCACAGAGCTCGCATTCGAAGTGGTATTCGGGAGTCACGACCTCTGGATGTTCCTGGAAAACGGCCTCCCAGTCGCTGTTCCATTTCTCCGGGTCTGCGAGAGCTTCCCCTGGCTGGGGGATCAATATGAATCGGCCGTATATCACGGACATGAGAGTCAAGAAGAAGGCGTGTTTGCTTTGTCATGCTGTGCTCTCGGCCCGTTCTTTGGATTGATGCGATCATTCGTTCGAACTTGACTCTTTTCTTGGAGTCTCGGACTCCAGATTGACGGGCCAGTACTCACCCTGTGAGAGTCGCTGGCTACAATAGAAAATTGGCTGGCAGTCCCTGACTCCTTGTTCGATCCGAGGTCAGATCATCCAATGTCCGTTAACCATTGCAAGACTCGATTTTTTACCGTTGATCCCAGGCACCAAGCCTGGTTGGAAATGTCCATGGCCCAGACCACTTAGGTAGAAGTGCAGGTCTGCGAACGCCTCCGCTCGGTATTACCCATACAATGATCGGATTGGAGTTGCTCGTTCGAATCGGCCCCATCTCATATGTACCAAAGGAGCACGTTTTTCCCTTGCGTTGCAATTACACATTGCCCCGTTCTATGTAGAAAAGGAATTAACGACGTCGACTGCGCGCTCAAATCAAAATTTGAACTGCGGTCCCTGACTCCTTGTTCGATTTTTCGCAGTTCGTTCTCGGATTGATTCGACAGTTCCACGGCGGGTTAAAACTGCCCAAATGTGCATGGCCCAGCACACCATTTGCATCCATCCCTGAACCAGTTGTCAGGCGGCGTCGAGGTCCTCGTTCGAACCGAAGCCAGGCCATGTCGGACGCGCCGTGGGATTCACGCATAATTTTTTGTCCCATGATTCTACCGGTCCCAAACCTGGAGCTTAAGTAAGCGCTCACGATACAACACAAGCACCCCAGTCGAAGTCCGGAGTCTAAAGACTGACCTCTCCGGCGAGAAATCTATACATTCAATCCCCAAATCTCCTGTAAACCCACCCGAGGGTACATTGTCGAAGACAGCTGGGTTGCTGCCACATTTTTTGAGTGTCTGTATTATTCATCTCAGGGGTCAAACGTTCAATTGGGACTCTTCAACCAGTGGCAACCACGACATCCGTCACGGGTCCTTCGATCTGTCTGCCTCGTCGTCACAAGTTAGCATCCCGTCAAGAATCAAATCAAGATGTAAAGGACTCGTACGTACAGCGTCGAATTCCATTTCGAGGTTGAATGACGCATGGTATCCAAGTTGTTGAAGTCTTCCATCGCTAGCAAATGACATCTGGGTGGTTCACAACGATCAACGTCTTCCAGTACAGCAAGGATTTCGTACCTCAGCCGCGGCGAATACCTTCCCCCGAGTCCGACAGCATGTTGCACGACTAGTGCTAGCACCAAATCTGAACCCAACGACGTCGACAGAAAGGTACGCATGCGTCCAACAGCGATTAGCAGCTTAAATCGAAGCTAGCTCGTTGTCTAGGCATTGACTAACGTTCAGGCAGGCAGTTGAACCGTCATTTTTCGCCTCGAACGCCATTGAGGCCGTTGGACCCGCGGGTCCTTGTGCCCTCCCTGAGTCTGATGAGGTTAGACCTCGGAGTGGGTGTCGCCCTGGCCATGGCCCCTGGGCTGGTTCCCTCGATGACGTGGAACTGCGTCGACGTCATACTTAGGAGCGAGTTAATTTCCTGCATGAAACACGTCGACTCACAGGTCGAGCCGCCAGGAGAAATTGTGGCGGCGAGTCTGGACTCTGAATCGTGTGATTTGGCATGGGTATGGGAATATTCTGGATGCCGCGTTCTTTTTTTTCTGCTCGGTGCTTTGAGTGCATGGGATCCAAGCCCGGGCGGTGCAGGAGCGAGATCTCTGCGTGGATTATCTCACCTTCATGGCCGGTCAGTCGAAGGCGAACGAGACTCAAAAACTTGCTCACATTCATGCCTTCTCGAGTCTCCAACGCTACGGATAGAAGCTGTCAGTCGAAACGCACACGAAGCATATCAAGGAACCCACAGTCTAACTTTAGCTACCCTGAAGGGGCGCCACCCACCAACTGTATAAAAAGGACTGGCCTTCTTCGCTTGAGCGTAGATACGATGCTCACCTCAGCCCTCCTCCTCCTCGCCGGCGCACTCTCCACTGCACAAGGCCAACTCGTCCCGGTGGTATCGAGCTTCAACGCCCCGCACTGCTGTGCCTCCTTCAGCGCGCCCGCATGCCGCAACACCTCCCTCGCGACTTGGTCAGGCGTGCCCGAGAACGCATTCTGCAAGCCTACTCCGGGCGCTGTGTCGTTGAGTATCACGCCTGGGACAGAGAAGAATTGTCAGATTGATTTGTATACGACTTGTGAGTGGACTCGGGCGGGCGATGGGTAGTTACTGACGGAGGGATGCTGCAGCGAACTGTAATGGCGTGCACGGGGGCTTCATCGCGTCGCCGCCCGTCACTCCGTCGTGCTACACGTGAGTGTGAGATGCTCCTTCGATCCTTGCTGACCGAAATCTCAGGGCGAGTCAGGAGTTTGCGTCCGTTCGCATCTTGTGTATCACCACTGGCTAGAAGAGAAACCGACGGGTAGATTGGTGTTAGATATTAGATGAGCGTTGCAGACGAGAAAAAAAATTGTATTGCTTCCGATGTGATGTGATGTCGGCATCAATTCGGGACGCCGTAGCTCTTTGTCTCTTTCCCCACCATCATCTCGCCGCTATTTCGAGTCTTGCTACCC